CAGTGTGCGAGTTGGGCGTCACGCTGCTGGAGCGCTGGCTGGAGTAGCGCTGGGCACTTCAGCGCTGCTGGGAGGAAGAAGCCGGGAGCTTCCACCTTGGCTATGGTGGARCTCTACCGGTAGGAGRAGGAGGGAGAAGGGGACCAAGGAGGAGAGTGGCGAGGTACTTACTGGCTATGGTAGACACCATCTTCATCTCCTTGCTAGGCGCTGCATCAGGAAGGCCCCAGTGGGTGTAGTGCCGCATCAAGGAAGCTCGGACAGAGTCAGGCATGGCGGTTGAGTGGGTAGCAGCATAGCTGCTGGGTGATGACCTTGAAGTGGGCAGCGGTATAGCTGCTTGGGGGTTGTCTTTGGTACCGGAGGCTGAAGCCTCAGTCGTCCGCCATAGCCTCGGCCTGTATGTGGAGGAAGAAGAAGGGCTGCCATGGCTATGGTGGACCTCATCTTGTGCCTGCAGTAGAAGTGGGATTCGGACATTGATTCTGGTTCARCTGTTCAACATTATTATTGTTTATTTATTGTTTGAATAAGAGAGGAGGAGATAAAGAGAAGGAGGTTGTTGAGCGAAGAAGAAGAGCTTTGTCTTTGGTTTATGCTGGAGTACATCATCTCTTTCTTCTTTCTTACTTCTTCTTCTTCTTCTTTCCCTCTCTCTCCTCTCAAGTWCTTTCATTCCTTTTGCAATTGGACGGCATTGGGCTCAAGTTCATTCATTTCTTTTCGCAATTGGACAACATTGTACTTCCTGATGATTGTGGACTTCAAAATTGGCCAGGATCGTAACACTAACTAAGTGGGGAACCTGGCTGGAGCATGGCATCTGGCAGGTCAAACACCTCTGGTCAGAAGACAAACAGCAGTGGAAGACGGCTCGAGAGCTAAGGGAGGAGTTGAGGGGGATCCACAGGCTGGCAGAGAATCTGAGCGAGATCTTGTCTTTAATCCCGGAAGGCTGGGTCAGGTTACTTCGGAGGCCACGACATTGGGATTGCGGAGAGTGGGCAGCTTGGTCCAATAAGGACGCTCCAACAAAAGCATTTAGAATTGGAGGACAGGTGGGACTGGGAGCGGAATGGCTGAGCGCACAGATGTATGCAATCCAATCCCCAGGGGCCTATACAAGCCAATTGGACAAGGACACAGCCACCCAGATCACCATAACGGACCAGTTGAGGAAAGTGAGGGTGATAGAGACGGAGGAGTTCACGATTTTTGCTCCAACAAGGGATATTCAGAACTTGGAGATTGGCCCAGTGGAGTGGGCCTGGAACCTCAGGGGGGGATCACTAGGCATAACGAGAAGAACCAACATACTGCACTATACAACCAAGCTGGGCTTCAGACTCAAGAAGCGCTCATCGCCCTTAGCTGAACCCTTGGCACTTAGATGGGAGAAGAGAATGCAGGTGCCGAAGGAAAAAGTGGCAAGATTATCATGGTCATCCTTACATCAGATCCGCTTAAGTAAGGAAAGGAGCTTGCAGTGATCGATCCTCCACGTGGCAGTCCCGATCAACTCATGGCTTTTTTAGCGTCGCAGTCAACACCACCATGATCCCTCCAGTCAACAGTGCACACAATGCACGGAAGGAGTACCGGAGACCCTGCGTCACTGTCTCCTCTCTTGCCAGAAGCAGTATATCTATGGGACGTGGCCAAGTCACTCAACTAAAATCACAGACTCCCCCTTCCTCGAGGGCGGGGAGACGCTTCTGATAGGAAGTGACCCTCCTGCGGCTGGGCCTCAGTACCAGAAGCGCACATTCCGACTTATAAGACAATACGTACTATGGACAATATGGAAGTGCAGATGCCAGCAGGCCATTGGAAACAAGCAAATGCACAGGCAAGAAGCGAAGGAGACACTCTACAATCTAGTGGAAACAGACATCCGGGCAGAATGGAAGAGAATTCGCAAGCAGGCCCAACAAAACCCAATCCAAGTCAAGGACCTAACGAAAAATTTTCAAAAGAGGGTTTTGCTCCAAGGGAAGATAGCAACATTAGCAGGCTTGACGCTGAGTTTCCACTGCTTTGAAAGATAGACGGATCAAACAAGAAGCAACGAGGGTTTGGGGTATTGCAGAGGTATTTAAAAGGTTTAGTTAAGACTGCAATAGTGGAGGGCTAGACATAGAGTTTCAACTTCTGAGACAGTTAGATAGGATAAGCTAGGTTTTAGGATACAGGGACTTGCCCTTTCCGTAGGGTTTAGGGTTTAAGAAGAGCGAACAGAGAGGAAGAGGTGTCGGAGGTAATGGGAAAGAAGAGCAACAGCGGTCGGTTCTAGGGCTTAAGATGAGGATGGATGGAAAGATAGTAGGCAGGTTCTTTCGTCTTTTGATATTTTGTCCTTTGTTAATCCAGTTTTAGTCTTTGTTCAGGAATAGCATGAAGCTTCATAGGAGAAGGGGACACTGGACCTGGGTTCCAGTAAGAGCCAAATCTGGGTAATGGCCCCAGTCTTCCGGGTTGAGATGTGGAGGGATTCCCGGCCTCCTTTTGCTCCATATATAATATATTAATAAAGCAAGCTATTTCTTAAAAAAAAAAAAAAAAACGACAAAAATGAGGATGAAAGAAAGAAGGGCATCGTGCATGGGGATGTGGAAGGGGGCAGAAGGGGGGGGGGGGGGGGGGAGGGCAGCGGGGTGGGGAGGGCTGGGTGGGTGGGGGGAGGGAGTGACGGGGGAGACGGTTGCCAGCTGGATCAGACAGGCTAAGTGGACAGCTGCAGAGAAGATGGACTTCGCTCACCGTGACAAGTCCTCTCACCTTTTTATCTGTACCACCTGCACAAAGGAACTCTCCATCACTGAAGAAGGCCACAGAGCAGGGGTCAAAATCCACCTCCCTATCTTTCCCAACCTGTGTCCATTCACAACCAAATTAGCATAGAGGGTGGTGGTAAGAAGACGCAGAAAGTTGCCACATGGCAGAGTTCCCTTAAACCAGCAACCCCAATTTTGAAGATTGCCGCGTGACCACGTGGCAGATTTAAATTTCAAACAAGCAGAACTGTAGGATAGCATACACTGTAGGATAGCATACATACAGACAATTGTAGCATATCAGAAAGTGAAATGCACTAACAGCCTAGGATCTAGCAATGATGAAAGTGGCAACAACCAGCAGCATAGATGCAACATTCACCAGATGTCAATGTGCACAATGCAACAAGTAAACCAACGAGAAAAACAACAACAACACATTTGCATCATCATCATCATGGGCTGGGGAACAGCGCAGCGGAATAATAGTAACCAACAGGACACG